ATCCTCCCTGTATCACTAAGACAATTGAGCCATTTTTCGAGCGCTTGCAACCCTTCACCCACTTAACTAACCTTTGGCAACTACTGTATTTTCGATAAAACACCTCCCTCAGCTGGTACTTGATATTCATTTGCGATAACAAGCTGCACAAGTGTTTGATACCGGAACATTGAAATAGACACATTAATACAAGAAATAAATGACAAATATTAAGTGTTCGCTTCCCCTTGAAGAAGAAAATCCTAGTTTTCTTCCTTCAAGGCTTTCTAAGTATAGGAATCTAACAGAAATTAATCACAACTCGCGTCCTTCATCGCCATCATCAGTCCTCCTTACTACCTCACGTCTGCTGTCACGCGTTATGCCCCCCCAGATGGGCTTGCTTGCCTTGACACTGACAACGACGATGCCTTGAAAAAGAGACGAAAGGAGAGAACTCACTTTTGTGGGGATGAAATGTTCCTCTCGTGGATCGATGGGAAAGGCCACTGATTTCCTAAGGGGCCTTCGAACTGTATCAGGGATTTGAGCAAGACGAGGGTTATCCACGCGCGATTGCCATTTTCGTTCAAGGATGTCATTTTCTCTTTCCATTTCCTGGGGGATGGACGGGGTGGAAGAATGCCGCCTCAAGGTATTTATAGGCCGATTTAAAAAATCTTGGTCTGCTCCAGTCACGGCTACCGGCGGCATGGGGTTCAAATTCAACATTGAAGAGGAATGATAGAGCAGTTTGCTGGATCTGGTCTGACTGGGGCTTCTCATATATCGATGAACTGGAGCTTGATTCATGTGGGAAATTCCCCTAGGGCCATTTGGGTGATGTACATTCAAGGCCTGACCTTCCCCAAACTCTATTGGACGTGAAGTGGAAGAGAAATGTCGACGTTTGGGGTTTGCGGGAGAGCGCGGGAAAGGCTGGATCCCGTCATATTGGGTAGGGGTTGAAACTGCATCCGGTGAAAGCATATTGAAAGCAATAGGTTGGTTATCGAAGGACGGTGGAGGTGCGATGATCTTTGGTGAAAGATCTTGAAGGTCCAAGGAAACACCACAGTCCAAATTGGGTTCCGGCAGGCTATATTCCATTCCTTTAAAAGTAAATTTCTCTTCTCTCGAGCCTTCCATCACCGTTGGGGTTGATAATCCAATAGTATATATCTTATGCTTGATATGGGCGGGCTATTAAATGATAAAGGCCATGTCTTGTTACCAAGTCTGACACGTGTTCAAAATCCCACTTACTATATGAGATCACGTATAGATTAAGTAATCTGTACTGTATATCAAGAACTGTATGCGTTTTTTAGAGTAATAAAACTGTACTTGAATACTTTTGTGATGCTCATAAAGAAGCACGTTGTACTTAATTATGAGCATTTAAATCGAAATATTTATGCATATAGCTTTAAATGCATGAGTACTTCGTACAAATAATTCGTCAATGTCCAAACATTCCAAACAAGACTTTTACAGTCTCGAAACGTCAAATTTTTAGCCTGAAATGGAGGCCCTTTGTAGGGTCAGAGAAAGTGGAAGGGGTGTCGCTAGAATAATCGACCTAGGAGCAGGTTGATGGTGAAGAAATGTGCAGAAAGAACTGTGTCGAACTGGAATAATATCGTCAAGAAAGGCTGACATAAACATATTCTTACGCTGAGGTCGACAAAGGACGTCGACAGGAAAAGATGTAGATCCGTATAGAGATAGTCTGAGATTCACTTCAAAAAGGATTATTAAAGGAGCGATTCATCAAGGAAAACAGCTGCTCAATGCCGTCGTCCAGGCGCAAGGCCATACAATCGTGCTTCAATTTCAGAAAGCCCCTGTGTACTCGCGGTATTTCACAATCTTTTACTGTAGAAATTGTTGTACCTCTTTGGCTAAACCAGCATTACATGATAGAAAACACGTAGATATATACCCGTCGGGACATACACAGAAGTAACTTCTACCCCTTCTTAAAAATATGTTCGCGTTTTTTACTCCCGCCCAGTACTTCCGGATTTTGCATCAGGAATTTGGATATATTTATGAAAAGAAGAGCGTCAAGCGTCGTTTAGACCGACGGAACGAAACCTGAAATTATTTAAAACCAGAAGATCCACTTTAAATTTTTTCGGCTAGGACGTGACAGGGCTTGACAAGACTCCACAGCATTTGAAATGGTACTAGACACGAAAGAGAGCCAGCCTGCGACACCTTGTACATAAGGGTCCTTGAGTCAAATATTGCCGCGCAAATATTTGACGCAAGTATCCGCGCAATTGTGAGACTATGGAGAACGCTCCGATCATTAACCAGCGAAGGTAAGTGAATTTACACTCATCTTCCCGAAAAGTTCGATTAAGGGGCTGGGGGGGGGGGTCTCAGACATAAGAATTGACCGATTTCGAACGCAAGAGGCGCGTAGTTCAGACAGAGCTCAAGGTTCATCATTTCCAGCTACCTATCCTATGAATATTTCTATCTTTTCCACCTTACAGCGTGAACTTTAATGAACTAGCCCGCTATTCACTCACACGAGAAAGGAGGCAGGTCACGAAGAAAAGAATGTAAGGAAAGGGTCTTTTATCTCGGAATGATCCGCTTTAGCTTAACCTGTTCCCAAGCGCGAGTTCGCATACAGTATGAGTAGGATGAATGGTGATAAAAAGCCTGCAAAATAGGCGCAATTAGTGAATTGAAAACACAGGGGGAAAAACGGAACCGAAGGCGATCTGATTCTCCCTACAAAACAGTCGAGTTAATTCTGGTCGATATTATTTCAGTTCGACGCAGTCCGGTCAAGGTGTATCATGTCCAATTAATTTTTTTTTCTCTGTCGGCAGAGTTCTCGTTCAACACTCTTCTGTAATGACCTAGTTCTGTGCTCTGTGTAGTGTCGACATCTTTCAAGTCGACGCAAGTCAGTGTCGACACTATTCGTAATGTCTTAGTTCTCAGTCGGGCTCAAGTCTGTGCCGCCATTATTCCTGTTGGCAACTTTCCAGTATTCGTTAGTGAAAACACTCCCCAGCCGACTTATTTCATGGCATTTGTCTATGTCCCCAAAATTGCAATTCCCTGGATATGAATTGGCCTTTTGAGAGCAATGCATAAAAATTTGGAGTTTGGGTGTCATGACATCATGCAGGTTTAGCGCTATGGGTGCTCAATGTAGACTTTCTCCTCGATAGGCAACTTCTTTTCCCTCCCTTGTTTTCGGGGGGGGGGGGGGGGGGGGGTTT